GATTATATCCATCTCACCTGTCAGGTCTCCCTTCCTCCTCTTTATTTCCTCCTTCTACACATGGTATGTCCCTCCTCATCATCCACACACCCAACGCCCCCCCTCTCGGTGGTCCTGTCCTCTCCCAGGGTTCAGACTAATGACTAGTGACAGTCCACTGAGGGGAGCGAGCTGTTTGCAGTCAGCAGTGCGTTTGTTGGTAATTATTTTCCAGAGTGTCACATTAGTGTCAGCCTCGTGGCGGTGAGAGAGGAGAGAGGACGGGGGCCCCGACTGGCTGGATGGGTGAGGCGGAGCGCGAGGGGAGGGGAAAGGGTGTGATGTTTGGTGGGCAGCGTTGTGTTTATGCGTGTATATGTGTGTAGATTGAAGTGGTGGTGGGTTGAGGACACAGGCTGTCACTGCACTTTACTCTTCACCTCACGGCTACGTAAGACTTCTGTTTCTGTCCTGAAAAGACACAGAAGCCTTGAATGCATATTTGTCTAAAGGGATAAAGCTGGTGATATTCTATATTTTCAGTCCAAAACCAACAGTAAATTTGACATGTTGCCAAAGCCTGATACAACTTATTCCTCTGTGTCATAGGCCTCCATTGCTCTCCATAAACTATTAAAAACACAAAATATGTCACAGTATTGCACTGAGTAACATGCTGCTTCATTATTACGCACGTGGACACTGCAGTTAATGCTAAGTCAGTCCCACACGCATTGTCCTGCTGCCGTAAATATTCACATGCACACCAGGTGTGTCTTACTCCTGTTTGTGTTACAGTGAACACAAATCACAAATCATGCAACATGTCAGCGCTCACAAGCTAGCAATTAGCAAGTTAGCAAAGATCGTGTAAATAAATAACCTATGACTTTCTCCAACAATTTAAATGATGATATGGGGAGCTGCATTTTTTTTTATAGTTTTGTGTTTGCATCTGTAATCTTTGTAGTATGGGTCATACAGAAGAGAGATATTCTCCTCCACAGACATTCATCCACAGGAGATAAAGACTAAACTTCTGTCCCACCACTGCATAATTTTTCCACTGTCAGTTTTTTGGTAAATCACTGTGGAGCCTCCATGCAAATGGTGTCCTCATTTGCATGAAGTCAATTTTTTTTAGCTTTCCCTTTCCTAGTGTTGTTGGTCAGTCCTGGGTTGTCTAGATTCCAATAATGCCTCCCAGAATATTCATTTGTGTCCCATAGAAAATGAATGGATTTTGAATTCTGCATCACACCACGTCCAGTGGGTCTTTTAGACACTGTCTTAACTTTTTAAAATGTTTAAACTTTACATTTGTAACCCACCTTTAAAGATTTACTATGAACAAATAGGCAGGGTGGGAACGGTTCTGGTCTGTTCATGGGATTTGTTAACAATAAGAAAAATATATTCTTCATAATCCAATTGAAGAGAATGTCCCCTGAAGTCACATAGCACACATTACTTATTCTACATCCTTATTTAATTTTTTGCCGCCTCTTTTACAACCACTTAAACCCACAGTGTTCAGTAGAAAAAACTGCATTGAGTTCAGGAAATTTAACTTAAGCATCTATGGGACAAAGTTGAGTACATGCAAACAGTATCGGCCCGCCGACACAGGGTGTGCTGTGAATGTGTAAACACACAGGATACTGGTGTGTCTATGTGTGTGTGTGTGTGTGTGTGTGGTGGGGGGCAGTCACCAGCCCCCTTGGGAGGAAGCGATCAATGATTGAGACCATAATGCACCTCTCTGTATTCCTCCTCACATTCACGCTCACTGGCTGCTTTGGGGAGCTGTCACACACCCTCACACACACCCTCACACACACACACACACACACACACACACACACACACACACACACACACACACACACACACATACTTCCACTTTCCCTCACGCACACACACATTGTCACATGTTCGACAGCTCATCTCTCACACGTTCCCTTCCACTCCATCTTGTAGCTGTCTGGTCGATGGCCTCTCTCTCTGTCTCACTTCCACTGCTCAGTCTTTGGCAGACTGCTCTGCTCTGGCGCTGTCTCTCCCTATGTTAATATAGTAGCTAACCTCTCTCTCCATAACACTGCTACCAGACAGTCTCTATGTTGATATACTGAGGAGTGTAGCACTCCGCCGCACAACTCCTACCCAACTGACTCCAGAGAACTGAGCACTCTTCATCTCCACCAATGCTACTGCAACTGCGAGGATCCTGCTGGGGCACTCTGTTGTCCTGTACACTTGTTCTTACAACTGCTGTAATCTGACTCTTCAGATTTTTCCGGCAGTTAAAATCACTTAAAAAAAACCCACTTTTTTTTCATTTTCATACTCTTTTGTTTTTGATTAGAGGAAATCGTATGAATTTTGAATGCAATCTGCTGTAATTGAAGATTGTGAGTCTCACAGCAGAAAGGTAATTATCACTAATTGGTCTGTGGAAATGATTACAGCAGTAACTTAGTTTACTCCACGCCCGAAAAAACAAGAACTGGGTATGAAAGGAGGAGAATGAAAAAATAAAGACATGACTATTTACTGTTCACCACTCCAATTACGCAATGTGAAAGTTAAAAGACTCCTCCGATGACCCCTGGCATCGTAATAAAAGAAGTGGAGAACTCTCATCATGTTGATTTAATTTGCCTCAACTCATCTCTTGTTTGTTGGGAATTACACTGAAGACCACAGAAACTGAGCTGTCAAATTTTAATGTCATTAAAAGCTTGAAAATGATTCAAAAGTCTGTGTAATGTCAAGTTAAAGACGAGAATACGAGCATGCTGATAAACAAATACAAAAAGAGACTACATCAAAGCATAAACTTTATGCGTTAAGATGTTCGGGTCTGTGTGTGCACGTGTGTGTGTATGGCAGTCATGAAGACAGCCAAGTGACTCACCTCCTGCCAGAAAATGAAGACATACAATTAACATCGTATCCCATCATCCTCAGCTGAGCGGGCAGGCCTGTAATTGGCTGGCTGACCAGCGTGCGTGGCTCCGGGTGGCAATTTATTCTGGGAGCCATGCAGTTTACCCTGGGCGGCTAACGGCCCCTGTGCCATAACCTGGCTAAGGCAGCGGGGACATCATTAACACTTCACTGGGCCTGCAGGACACACACCCATCATCCACTATACACCACCCACAGCCACTAGCACATGTGGGCAAATTGGGGGAACAGGGTAGAAATAATAATCATAATGTCAATAGAGCCACTTGTAGTGAGTGTGTTCACTGATCAGCTGGCAAATGAGGATATTTCTGGCAGTTTCTGGTAAAAGAATAGAACACCAGGCTCCTAGATTACCTTTGACTATTAATTTGTAATGAAACAAAGGTTATCCTTGCCCAGAGCAGATGTGATTTGGGAATCATATTAGTTCAGTCTTGTCTGAATATAGACTCTGAGTTTGTCTCTTTGACAGTGTGTGTGGTGGAATGCGGTTGTCTAACCCCAAAACAATGTGTGAGAGAGAGGGTGCTCTCTAACTGGAGTAATGACCTTGCCTTGTCACAAGGAAGACATGTGTTACACGCTCCCATATTGGTCCGAGGGCAAGACTGTTACAGAGTCAGTCTGGACTCTGGTTTATGTGTCCATTTAAAGGTCTGCATCTGCTGTCTGGCCCTCCACCTCCTCACCAAGCGGCTGTCTTTAGGTGTGAGAGGAAGCGGCACACATGGAAAGCTCCATCTCAGGGATCACTCTATGGATGAGCAGGGCTGATGAACTGTCCAGACTAAATCGTGGATCTCTTCTGTCTTAGATAAACAGACAAGAGAGTCAATATTTATTTTGATTTCCCAATTATCCAGTGTGTTTTCAGGCTGAGTTAGCACGGTGAACCCACTGATTTCCAGCTCCCCACAAGCCTCTTCCTTGAGTCTTCTTCTTGGCCGTGATATTCCCAATTCACTCATTTCCTATCTCAGGACTCTTTCTTGCTCTCTGATTACACACACACTCACACACACATGCACGCACACAGGCTCACAGCCAAATGGCTGTTCATTAAAGACAGGGACCTGAGGGGAAGCAATCGTCTGAGAGACGGAAATTGCGTGTCACATTAGATTAGCGGTGTAAAGCCTCTGGATTGGCTCGGGGGAATAAGGAATTATTTCAATTACATTATTTCAAAAAGTCTTTAAGCAATACCAATACCGATAAAAACAAATTAAGAGTGATTTGGGCTGATCTGTGGCGCTCTGAGCTGTGCTTTCTGACAATGTGCTGGAAATCAGATATGAATAATGTAGATATTACGCTGTGTGTGTAATGTGTCGGAGTTGAAAGCAGATTATCTGTGACAAATAATGCCATTGGTTTGCATTGTGTCTCATCAAAAGGGAATGTTCCCAAGTGTCAATCACACCGGCTGGAGACTGTACAGGCGCAGTGAGCCACAGAGGAGAGGATAACTCCATCACCTGCCATTCACAGTAACAAAGCAGTGACACCAACACACGCCCAGTGAAAGTGATGACTTGAGTCAACTTATGTATACCTAATGCACTGAATTTAAGCTTTTCATGGTGAAAAGTCCCCGTATAGAGCAGGTACGCTCATATGTTTGGTGGATGTGATCCTCAAGGTATTTACAGTTGTAATTCTTGTAAAGGTTCTAATGTATCATTATAGGCTAATAAGATAATGATCATAATATTCCTTATTATGATCATTATCTTATTAGCCTATGTAGCCAGATGTTTTATTCTATATTGTTAAGGATTATACGGTCTGACACCTCTGTGACACAAAGTTGTGTTGTTTTTTTTCCCCTTTGGCAAAACTGAATACTGTATTTCTCTTTTGACTCGATTTCACTCTAACACATATAGCGAGGGCAAGAAATTGAATGTGTCCATCTCAGGGGGGAGTGAGCAAGGGGGGGGAGGCTACAGAGAAAGAGGGCAGGGAAAGAGGGGGAGAGGAGGGGAGAGGGGGGTGGTTGTCACACAGAGCGCATGAAGGAGAGACCAACAGAGTCAGATCGACCCGCAGCCAGTCCACTCACTGATGCCCTGATCCTTCCCCAGAAACGCAGCCACTGTTTCCCTCTCCAAACTACACACATCTGAGCGTCAACTCACTGCGCAACACTCGCAACATCTGGAGGAGGACTGGAAAAGCCGACGCCGCCCGCAAGCTGCACGTTGTCCTCTCTTTTCTTTTTTCTCGTTTTTCTTCCTGCGCGACGAGGAGAAAGTGCCGCGTCCTTGAAATTATAAGTTGAAAGAGAGGGAGAGTGAGAGAGTTGCCTGGCGGACAAATAGATCTCGCTTTGAGTACAAGGTAAGTGGCGGCTGATGCTGCGCGATAACACAAGTGATTACAGCTTCATTTGTTTTAATTGGCTTTAATTGGTTATTTGATTGCCATGTGTTTCTGTCGGGTGTGAGACTTTGTGGTAGTTGACGGAACTTGAGCGCGCTCGCTGGAAAACTGTTCTCCGTTTTGAAACCATGTAAAAATAAATGTTTCATTTCTGCTTTATAACCGGGTCGAATTTTGATATTTGCGATTTTTAGATTGGGTACAAAGTTATGTCATCGCTGAATTGTCACTTAATTGCAAAACATAAGCTATATTATTTCTCTTTTATCTTTAAAAGTTTGTTGAAGAAAAGTCTTTTTTTAAGTAAGACTGTCAGTGTAGTCCGCAAACTTTCATTCTCATCCTCAGCTCAATTTAAGAACAGATGTTTTGGTTCATAAACTAGAAGAAAAAAAAAAGATGTAGTTCAAAAAGGTGAATCAGTGTTTTCCAAACTTTACTTTCTTATTTCGGCCTTTTCCAAGATCTAATTCCAATCCTTTTCTAATCATTCAATTTCAGTTTAATCAAAGAGGAAGATTAAACACCGATTCTAATTTATTATTGTTCAACCTTTTTCCTTATTATTTCAAAGTAACTATAATTAATTAAAATCAGTTCATACTTTGATGTTTTGTGCCTATTGTTGTTTCACATTTTAGAAAAGAAATGTCGAGAAACTTCTATTCCGTGATGTTTATTCTACTTAAAAAGACCCACCACAGATTTTATTTCATTGGACACAATCAGCATCATTTACAATTTATTGATTTACTGAAACAATTAGTTCATTACAGAGAGAAAAAAAGAGGAATTGTTGTTTTTTCCGAACATGTTTGGAGGATTTTCCCCCAAATGTAATTGCTTATACCTCACCATTAAATTTATCTTTTGCAGGCTTCGGCTACGTGTGTGTTTTATTGGCAATTTATTCCGTCGTAATTATTTACAGGCACAGTAGGCCTCCTCCAACCCTTTTCTATTGAAATTAGTCCAAAACTGTAATTGTAAAAATGCCTGTAGAGTTGCAACTGGGTGCGTTTCACAAAATTAAGAGATGAAGACTTTGGCATTTGGATTGTTTAAAATAAATAAATAAACTTAACTACATTAAATAATTATTTTTTTCAGCCTAAATCAACTCATTATTTCATCATAAGACAGTTAAAATTAATTATTAGAATCCAGTTATGGTTTAAAGGAAATAAATACTTTTTGTATGCAACAATTGCAACCCTAAAAAGAGCATCTTTTGAAACAATTTGTAATTTCTTTTCATGCCCTGTTGTAGTTCAGCCTTTTTGCTCCACCTCAACTCCCTCCTCTGACTCTGAGTGTCATCTCCGTCTCCTCAGGACCACTAAAAAAGGAGGTGAATGGACCTCCACCGCCCCTTCAAGATGGACAGCCCCTCCTACCTGCCAGCTCCACTGGCCTCCCCCGCCCTGATGGTCCTCGCCTCCACTGCCGAGGCCGGCCGAGACGCCTCCGTCCCCTGCCAGGCTCCCAGGCCCTTCGGTGTCCCTGGCTCCGTGGAGAAAGACCTTCACCTCCCCTTCCCCTCGGCCTCTTACACCTTCACCTCCATGTATCAGCGTCAGGGCCCCATGTCAGGCACCTTTCCCTCCCGAGATTTCCCAGCCTCTCTGCTCCACCTGCACCCCCAGTTCACTCCGCCAAACCTGGACTGCTCCACCCTAAGCATGCTCAACCACAGCGGGGTGGGCGCCTTCCGACCTTTCTCGTCCCCACAAGAGGAGAGGGAGTCGGGCGTTTACCAGTCAGCTTTCACCCCTGCCAAGAGGCTGAAAAGCTGTTTCCCTGACATTGAGGGGAAGGAGTTTGACTTCGGCTCCCCGGGAGGCTCCCTCAAAGCTGGGGAGGACTCAGGGAGGAAGCTGTTCTCCATGTCTGGCCTGCTGTCTGATGGGGAAGCTTCATCGAGCCCAGAGGAGCGCAAAGACCACAGTGAGTACACACTCAACCCACAGAAACACACATCTGATGCATGTATGTAACGTCGGTATGTAAACACGCTCAACTCTCCTTGCTCACGTCTGAAGCTCACACACAGTCACTCATCTCACATCTTTAAAGCGTGCAGTGAAATATACGGAGTTTAATTGGCACATCAAAGACCTTGCTCACCTTGACATGACACGGCAGATGAGATTTACATATCCTCTACAGCTGCATCGACTAATGGTGACAAATTGAAAGCAGCCTTTTGTGAGTAAAGACGTATCTGAAAATATTTTCCCCTTTGCACTCTAGTCTTTATCGTTTAACAAAGTGTTTACAGCGACTGGCTGTGACTGACTTTGACACAAATAAATTGAATAGTGTCACTTGTTCAGCTTAGTGATCATTAGCCACATATGACCATTAGGCCTATTGGAAGTCAGACTTTTCTTGGTGGCTGAGGAACACAAATACATTGGAGCGTGTGGAGGGTTGACATAGGAGGAGTGAGAGTTGGAACGAATGACACCCTGTCAGAGATAACGAGGTGGCAGAGATAGAGAGGAAGGGATGGAGGAGGATAGAGAAAAAGAGAGAGGGAGAGAGAGAGAGAGGGAGAGAGAGAGAGACGCGGCGATGCGCCTCAGCCTGAGCTTCCCAACGACAACCCTCAGCTCAATATGGCCGCCCACACCAGCCGTCTGATTTGTTGACAAATGAGTGGGAGAGGTGTCAGTCAGTGCGCCGCGGAGGGAGAGACGCTCCTCATTACTCCCGGGGATAATTGCCCAACGACGCGGGGGCACAACACTCGCCTCAGAGGGAGAGGGGGTGGGGAGAGAGGGAGCCGGAGTCAGGGAGGCAATGCTAGGCATGATGGGAAATCAAACCCCCTCAGTGGCGGTCGCCAAGGGGAGCGCCTGACAGATGAAAGGGACCAGAGAAAGACAGAGAGAGAGGAGAGAGAGCACCCAAAGGCTCGGCAGATCAGAGGGGGACACCATCGAAAATAATGACAATGAGAAGGGGGGGCCAGCGATGGAGAGGGGCGAGAAGGGGGGAGACGCTGATACACGCTCTCATACATATCACCTAAAGGAAACTTTCATCCCACACATAAAGGGCGGGAGCAGGGACGAGTTGTCTTAAGAAAAGTTTGGATTGTGTGCCGTGTGTGTCTCTATGCATATGTGTGTGTCTTTGTTGAAACTTGCTGATTTTGTCGCTGGTTGGTGGCTGAGTGACAGGGCCAGGGAGGCGGAGTGGCAGGAAGGAATCTCAATATGGAATTTTAATAAGGACGGGGAAGGGAAAGAGATGCCAGCCAGCATGCTGGTGTGAGAGGTGTGTCTGTCTGACAATGTTTGCTCTGTGCACTCGAGCATGCGTGCTCCTCTCACCTCCTGATTTTGGGAATCTCATTTGGGGAATGTTGACAAGGACAAAAGATGGGGTGGAATAGAACATGGGGAGCATCTCTCCTCCAAAAATGAGTTGGGAAAAAAAATTGGATTCGTGCACATTGGAAGCTGCTTTTCCAGCTTTATCCAATTAGATTGGAGCTCAGGCAAACTAAGAGCTTTAATGCAATTGAGCTCCCAGCACTTTTCTAAGTCTGACATACACTTGTTCCTCTTGACTGGGTAACAGACAGTCACTTCAGGACCGAAAGTCTTAAGTGTTAAGCTTGAAATCTTCTGTGAGAGTGCGTCTACTGCTCGCATACTGCTGCAGCGACGGCAATGCAAATTCTCACTGAAATACAAACTAAACCATAAAAACCTACTTTTGTACTTACTGAAATTACCTTCTGTGTTGGGTTTTTTTCCCTGTACCTGTATGGGTTTCCTCCAAGTGCTTAGATCACTGGCCTAAAGTAAGACTGTGTGTAATGCACTGCAGCCAGCCAATGCTTCTAAATATTTAAGATGGATTTCAAGGAGATGACAAATATTCAGAAAGAGTAATTTAACTAAATATACTTGAACCCAGAGTGAAATGATTATTCTTGTGTCTACCTTTCTCTGGACAAATCAAAACTTTCTGGATTGCATTTGACTTTTTGAGGACACGTCACATACATTCACTCTGAGCACAGATGACCAAGTGTTTTAGTTCCTCTCAGCTTCTCTGCACGACATGCAGGTAGAGCACCCTTTCCCATCTGCCTTATGGGTCCCTGCCAGTGGACATCTCCTTCTGTCCACTTAGTGTCTTCTGTCGGTTTTCCCTCCCAGACTTGCCTCTGTTTTATCAGGGAAGGTCTGAGACGCACGGTGTGCTCTGACAGCTGTTCAAACAGCCACGCTCGCTTTCAAAGGGCAGATGTCTTCACTGGAGCGAGTCATGCTTATTTTCCTCAGGGAGATGCTTTCCGCTCCAGGCCTGAGCTGGAACTAAAATGGCTCTTTACCAGAAACACGAGTTGGGAAACCAGACGAGTGGAGTGGCAAAACACATCATGGCCAGACGCTGAAGGAACAGTGTGTGTATGTGTGCGTCTGTATCTCGCTGTGGCGAAGCTGACTGAGAGCTGTGATAACTGGAGCCAGATGTTTGAGAGCCCCTGTGTTGTGATGCTGGTAACACACCAAACTCCTAGATGTGGCTGTCAGAAAAGTGAAAACCTTCACCGGCAGTGTGGACAAAGATAGTCAACTGTTGTACGACTGTCAAATTCTCAAACAAATAATTGAGCCAGTTTCACAAAAGTGATCTGTGAGCACTGTTTACACGTAGATGGTGGCAGCATCCTGTTTCACGAACGTTTGTCGCTTACAAATTGCAGCTTAGTTTGTACGTCTCTTGCATTCTTACACAGGTCGCCACAAATATGCTGTTGGTGTTTTCTAGTGACGCACGTCAAAATTAACAGGAAAGGAAATTATCTTATGTTGCAGCTTGCATGTTGCAGATTTGGTCAAGTAGCCCCTTTCAGCAACACCAATTCAAAAGAAACTTTGCAGGGACCACTTTTTATTATCAGAATTTGTATTGTTAGCATATAACTGCATCATTACGAAGAGATTAACACACATGTAAATTACAGAGCTGTTTCTCTTATTTGTCATTCTGTTTTTTAAATTTTTTATTCAGTCTACTGAAAGTAGAAAAAGTTATTTTAATGTCATGCATGTTAGTGGCCAGGTGACCATCAGTTGTAATTGTAACTGTTTATGACTTTTAACTTTAGATAATGTGGGTGAAGCAAAACAGTATGTCTTCATCAACACTAGTTCTTTGACATCGACTGTGTGTCATTACATTTCATTTTTGTCAACTGTACATGCACAATTAATGTGAGGATTATTATTTATTTGCCCATGTGAGTCTACTTGTGTGTGTCTACTTGCTAAGATGAAACACAAAAGCTTTTGAGCAAGTTTTGAACCTGACTACAGGTATTTAACATGAGCAAAACTCTTCACCACAACATAAATCCGTGCATCAGGGTTATAAATCGGACACGGAACGTCAAATACTTCTCTTATGGGGCGAGGAGGCACTGTTAGACTCACCAAATCTTCACCTGAGTGTAAAGAAATCCTGCAGGAAGTTAATAGAGGGGAAATGTGAGCGTAACACACACTGAGGATTCTCTACCAGATGCGCTCAGAGCGTAAGTGTCCTCCACGGTTGGTTATTCATGGGCTGTTAGCAGACTAGTGCGCACCCGAACAGAATCAATATTACATAGATTCATCTTAGATTTGGCATGTGGATTATCTCTGTGGTGAAGTTTGATGGGTTTGAGCTTGTTCCAGACACAGCTTACATGCTTTGTGTGTGTATGTGTCTGTGTTTGAAGGTGGGTGTATGCCTGCATGTGCATGTTTAGATGGATGTGACTTAGATTTAAATATATTATAGCTACCAGGTGAAAACCTCATATCCCCAAACTGTCAAGTTTTTAAGAATGAAAGAAAGCAGTGTTAGCTTGACGGGTTTAAGGTAATCTAATTGCTTATTCATAAAGCCAAATATTGCAGAATTAACCCACAAAATCATCAAAATGATGGCGTTTTCCTCCACTAGCAGTGCATGTTTGTGCATATTTTTCATACACTTTTTTATGCATATAAGTTTGTATGGTATATTGACATCTCTCTCCCTCACACACACACTAGGCCGTATATTCTAGCTGTGTGTGCTGATTTGATAACAGGGAGGGCGTCTGTGCGCTGCGTTTTCTGTGTAGCAGTCGTTGGCGGCTGGTCGTATTGAGTGGAGCTTCCTGTTGAAAGACAGTGTTTACACCCCACTGACAGACCACAGGAGATCAATAGCAACCACTCGATGCTCATGCATACACATATATTATCTGCTGCCCGCTATTATTCCCATGGTGTATACGGTTATCAGGTGGACTTGTATGTGCACTCCATGCATCGACAGTCACACTCACCATATGCCCATGGCTACTTTTTTGTGTTCCTTTTTTTTGTTGTTGTGATTTTGTATTGGTTTGATCTGTCATGAACAAACTTTAGTAAGAAAATTGAAGTAATGTAGTGATAAGAATGTGTAAAAATGAACAACACAACTGGGAAAGTTGGCAGATAGAAGCTACACAACATATTGTCATGTAAAAAAGTGTCTTTAATCAAGTTTAAGACCCACAAGAATTAATCAATAATTTTTTGAAACTATTTGATAAACTCATAAAAGACAGCAACACATACTTACAGCTCCCTTTTTTTTAAAGCACCATCATCCCACATATGTAACATCTGCAACCAGCTCTCTTACTGACCACACTGGTAGTCTTGATTTCAAACACTCAGGGAGGAAGCATTACAATATTAATGGTGGTTGTGTTTGATGTGAGAGCACGCCGCGGTTGACTGTTCCCCCTCCTGTTGTGTTGGTAGTTTGTTCTCCTAATGTTCTCTCAAGGAAAAGAGGCTTTCATCCTGGCAGGAGGGGAAACTCTTCTCAGCTTTTTACCTCCTTCCCTTCATCTTATAAGGGCTGGAGAAAGGGGAACCTGGAAGTATTTTCCTGAT